TGTGTGTGTGTGTGTGTGTGTGTGTGTGTGTGTGTGTGTGTGTGTGTATACAGGTACACAGAGAGACCAGAAGAAGGCATTCAATCCCCTGAGACTAGTGAGCTGCCCAGCATGGACGCTGTGAACCAAATTCCAGTTCTCTGAGTGAGCAGCCGCTGTCCTTACCTCTCCGGCCTCCAGTATCATCACTGTATTTTTTGAGGCAAGGTCTCTCACTGAACCAGATATTCTGATGGGTATAGACTGTGTAGCCAGAGTTCAGGGATCCACCTGACTGAACTGCCCTCTGTATGAGGTTAAGACATGTGGGACTGCTTCCAAACTTGATCATACATGGGTTTAGGGGACCCAAACTCAGATCATCATTCTTGTGCCATAGGCACTTGACTGACTGAGCCATCTTCTTGATGTCTAGTTATCTGTATCTAAAGCAAACTGGCTTTTCTCTGCAACTAGTGTGATATTTTATTACCCATTTTAAAATAGTTCCTATTCTTACCACATAATTATGCCAAGAATACCCATGCAGTGCACACTTGCAGTTTGGATATGAAATGTCCCTTCTATTCACCTTGTCTCCCACCCCCTGCCTCAGGCTGATATGTTACAGGCTTGTGTTGCTGCCCAGAGGAGGTGATGGGAATTTTCAGAGGTGGACCCTCACTGGAGTAAGCCAGTCCAGGCATGTGCCTGAGGGCTGGATGCCTCAGCCAGGCTTCCTCTCTCTCTCTCTCTCTCTCTCTCTCTCTCTCTCTCTCTCTCTCTCCCTCTCTCTCTCTCTCTCTCTCTCTCTCTCTCTCGTCCTTAGCCACCATGAGGGAAGCGGCCTCTGCTACCTGTTCCCACTGTATGAGACTCCTCTTCACACCTCAGTGTATCCAGCCAAGCCTGAACTGAAAGCGTGTCCAAATAAACTCTAGTTTTAAGCTGTTTCTCTCCGGCATTCATCCTAGCAATGAAAAGCTCATAGACAGGGAGGCTACAAGTAACACTGCCTTACATTATATAGCTCTACAGTCGGCCTTCACACCTTCAGCCCTTCAGTTAACCTTGCAAGTAGGCAGTCTCAGCTTGCTTAACTAGCGTGACAGCTAAGGCCAATAGGAGGCTGAGGCCCATGCTTCCTACTGCCTCTGGTTGATGCATCCCTCTTGCCCAAGGCCTGGTTTCATTTTTTCCCCCACCTGGATGATGTTAGGTTTCAAACCTGACTGAGGTGCCTATTTAACATACAGCAGCAGATGCTGGCAGCCAGGTTCTCCCTACATCTCTCAGTCCTTACCTATTACAGGGCCCTCCTGCCTGGCATACCCCCTGCCCTGAACTTTCCAGCCCAAGAGGCCAAGGCTGTTCTTCCCTATATAATCCAACCATTTTGGTTACCCGCTATCTTTGTACCTTTGGGCTTCCTGGCTTCTGCACCTGGTTCCCCTGCCTTCCTCCTCTCCCTTCTCTTCCTCTTCTCCCAACATTGCCCATCTCAGTCTGGTCATGTCTACTTTGGACTCCCCCAGATGTCTGTGCCTCTGGCTATGGTCACCCACATATCTGTACTAGCTTTCTCCTCCACCGTACCTATAAGCAATCATTTTCTTTCCTTTTTATTTATCTTTTCATTCAAATGGCACCTGAGGGACAACCATTTAGGGTTGTTCCTACATACACATAACACATGCATACACACAACTTCATACATGTGTCTGTACACAAGAACACATACACATGTAAGAGGAAACCCGCTTTAACTTAAAAGAAAATACATTCTTTATTAACAGTGGTCTCAGGAGCCGCCACGGAATTTTATATATAATGAACCACATTGTACGTGACAACACAGCAAATATTTATGTGTCTGTAGTAGATCAGACATCTTGCAAAAGTTACGCGATAAAAATCTTTTACTTTAAAACCACGGTTTAGAGAAACGGATGCAATTTAATGGACATGTTTCACATTTTTCCCAACGAATCATTAAATATTTAAGCACCATAAAATTCAACCATTTCACATGGATGTGGCAGACAGACATCCTGGTTTAAAATGCACTACACAGAGTTTCTTGCAGATGATAGCAGTAACAATCGCAGAATGCCGATTTTTTTAAAAATGTGGATTGTTTGTCCCCTGCAGACCTTACTCATAATATCCCTGCAGGAAATTAGGATACTTTTTGTGGTACAGTAACTTTGTGACTTGAGATAAAGAAGACGTTAAGAACTGGCTAGGTATAAATAATTATAATCAGTAATTTATATGCTGTGAGAATCAACATATAATTTTGTTGCAGGGGGGAGGGGAAAGCAAGAAATAATTTTCATATTAAAATGCCTTATTTTAAATAGAAGACGTGTCCATACTTGGTGATGGTGTCTGCTATGCACTAGGTAGGTAATAATCCAACTTTAATTTTCAACATGAGTGGTAATGTCCTACCTTATAAATGAGAGCAGTTTAGCAGAACTCACCCATGGCAATGCAGCTGAAAGGGGACGCAGCTGGATTAAATTCTGGATCCAACCCATTCACAAGTCCTCATTTTCCCACTACTGTTATAGCCCTACCACATCAGAGAGGGATACCTGTTAAATTATTCGAGTGGGCTTGTAGAAACACTGATCACAAAAGGAGAATGATCTGGTTTGTGGTGACCTGAAGGAAGGGCCAAACAGACTCTTTGATGAAGTCCAGCTCTCATGAGCCATTCTGCTGAGTTTTTCTAAGTGTTCAAAACACACGGACAGTGTAGAGGACCTTGGTGCCAAGAAACCCTTAAATCCTGAGGAAATACAGATTGCGGGGTGAGTCATCATGTCATTTCAGCAAAGGATCTTCTTTCTGCCAAATCTAGGAGTGAATCTCATCGTTTCTGAAATTTCAGTTCATAGAGAAGCAGTTAATTGTAGAGCGAGGAAGGGTCAATGCTTGCCGATTGGCATTCTGGTGGTAGTTGTATTAAGAGATTGTGGATGCGTAGCTATGTTTAACTTTCTGATATTCTGAAGTATTATGCTAATCACCCTTTAACCAATGAGATCCTATATGCGATCTGTACATCAGAGGTTTACCAAGGCATAGGAAATTGTCACTGAATGAAAGAATCAAGCCAATAATAGCTCGTTCGTGTGCTACTGATGGACATCCAAACACCAGCAAAGCATGGTTCCTGCCCCACGAGGGCTTCCTAACTATGGAATGAAAGAAGTGTCCAGAGACATTAGAGAAGTAACAGGAGACAGCTGCCCAGTCTCTTTGAGAGGTTCATATACCTGCCACTAATCCACTGTGCTAGGACAAACGTGTGCCTACCAAACCAATGGGCCCTAGCAAAGATGCAAATGGCATAAAGACGAGCCAAAGACACAAAAGTATGTGAGTGTCCACAAAGCTGTGTGCAACTCATGCTAATAAAAAGCATTCTCTGACAATGAGCCTCAGTTCACAATGGACCTCTTACCCCATGTGAAGTCATTTTGGACTCCACTGGCAGTGTGGTCATTCAGGATTCTAAGCCAAAAGATAACAGTCTAACTTGGATGGAACTTAGAAAAAGACTGGAATTCCAAACTGGAGACATCACCTGTGAGAGGTTAGGTGGAAATCTGTATGAAAGCAAGAAGTGTGGAGAGGGGATAGCAACCCACACAAGTGGGGATGTGAGTCTTGGGACCCGACCACATGACGCTTGGATGCCTGGTGGCTTCCACTTAGCAAGAATTAGAAGCCAGAAGGAAACACCCCATCTGCGCTCTAGTATGGAGCCTCAAAGTAATTCCCCTTAGGGATCTAGGCATATTCCAGCCCATCAAGGGTGGAGGTCTCGAAAAGGACATTTAGATAAGACCATCACAGTCATGGATTAGGACATAATGCAAAGCTTTGTTCATGGTCTCCACTGAGCAAGGCTGTTCCAAAAACATTGATATACAGCCAGGTGGAAAGAGAAATAATAGCTTTAAGATAACACGCTCTTCTGGCCCAAGATGCTTTTCCCATTGTTTCACCGTCTGGACCATTTCTAAATCCATCAGCAATCCTTGTGCTATTCACCGGAGGACCGTGGCGTCTACACTTTGAACTGCTCCGTGCTCACTATCTCGGGTAGCTAAATTGCCCTCCAAATTCAACCAGTCATAAGTAACTTGAAGCATGTTAATATTCCAGCAGCAAGGCTGAAGGGTCTAACATTGTGTAGCAAGGCACGTGTGTTCTAACCGTTCATCTATTCCCAACCGTCTTTTTCTGGAACTTGTTCTCAGGTCAAGTTCACAAGGAAGTTTCAGGAGGCCTGATTTAGGATGTGATAAATAGAGATTATGGAAACATAATTTAAATAAAGAAGAAATGGGCTTCAATTTCAGACACTCGAAAGTATTTAACATATACAGCATTGAACTTAAACTCAAATGGGTCAATAGGAAAAAATCTGCTACACCAAGAAAATATTTTATGTTAAAATAGAGACATTCAGCCCTGGTTATATAGAGAGTTCCAGACCAAGCAGAGACAATGTCTTCAAAGCAAAACAAAAACCATGTTTCTTTTTAAATTTCTGGACTTCTAGCACTTCTAGAGCTTCAGGCAATTGCTAGGATATTGAAGCCAATGCAGGGTTATGTAGCGAGTTCCAGGCCAACTCGAACTACAAGCTGGGGTGCTATTTTAAAACATAATAAAATAAAATAGATGTTGTTTACCAGAAAGGTCTCTTAAACTGCCATCCCACAGACATCCTACAGGAAAAAAAAAAAAGCTAAATCTATTCTGCATGAAGGAGTTCATCACCGACCAAACGATGGTAAGAAAAAGACAACTTAGAAATATCCTTATTTGCTTTTGGCTTTAATTATGTGTATGAGTATGTCTGTGGGTGGGTGTTTTCATGTGTACAGGACTCATGGGATCCAGAAAGGGGAACTGGAGTTCCCAGTGACTGTCAGCCAGCTAACCTGGGTGCCAGGAACTGAATGCAGATCTTCAGCAAGAGCAGTAAGTGCGGATAACCATTGAGCCACCTCTCCAGCCTCAGAAGCAAGATTTTAATTGAGTTTTTCTTTCAATTATTCTTAAGTGCACTGAAAAGTAAGCTCTGACATGAGTGTCTGTCTCAGGGGGGAAAAAAACCCTTCCTTTCCATTAAAATGACAATTTTACTTTAGCTGAGGAAGCTGAGTTTCAAAAAAAAAAAAAAATCTTCTCTAGCAAAGCTTTCAATTTGTGATTTGTAGGCATCCCTGACTTGATAGCAAGCAGACCTTTTGGTATGCAGAAAAATCACTGCAAATTGACATGGATCCTATCCGTGTACAGGAGCTGCTAAGTACCAGTGTCAAACAGCTGTCTTGCCGTGATGCTAATACAATATAAAGAATGTTTGAAAATTGGTGAGACAGATGCTCTCATTTAAAAAAAAATCACAGGAACACAAAATTCAGATTGGCTATAGTCTTTGTTTCTGTTCAGCAGAGCCCCATGCCTTTCTGGTGGAGTGACCCTGACGTAAATGAATCTTCTTACCTAAGTTTAATTAAGTCAGCCCTTAATTTTCTCCCAAGTGCATAATGATAGCCCTGTCACTTCCGGAGTGAGTCGCCATTATCCATGTGGAGGTGGAGCCTCGCAGGTTCTCCTGGGGAGGAGAGCTGGTGGCTTTGTATCAGGCTCTCATTGCCTGAGTAAGCCCCGTGTGGCTTCAGGCCCATTAGCAGGACTCCTCACTGGCCCCCGACTGGGGAAAAGTGGTCTGTTTGCAAGTTCCCTGGGACGGGGGAGTCAATTTTTGTGAATCACTACCTTAATATTCATTAATAGCTTTTAGGCCCCTAATCCCTTATTGAATATATTTTTTCTATAATTGCTACTTTTCAAAGAGGTTGCCAAAGTAGGCATTTCCATTCTCGGTAAAATGCAGAAGAGAACATAATGTTTTATATTCATCTGTGAAGTGTTTATGCTAATGCCGAGGCTCCGGAATACAGGACTGCAGGCCTTCCTGCATAATGACCCATTTCTGCTTTGAAATGATCTGCTAATGCTGGCAGTGTAGAAAGGTTGGTTTTCTTTTCTTCTTCCTCTTTAAAAACCTCTTTGGGCCATGTTCTCACAATTATTTGAAGTGCCTAGCTTAAAAAAAAATAGATTATAGAGAGAATCATTTTGAAACACTGAAAAATCTCTACTTCGTCGCTTTCATTTGTTGGTCTATTTATATTGTGTTGTGTTTTGATTTGTTTTGTTTTTTTCCTGTAAAATCTAGCCAGAAGCTCAATGGATTACAGAATAATTGACTTCAGTTGTTGGAGACTATCGACCAATGAATGAAGTTTATAAGCTGGTTTTTTTTGTCATTCACTTGCTTTTCTGGGAATTAACACAATGTTCAAATAAAGCCTGTTCTCCCATCATCTCAATAAAAGGAGAATGTGGGGTGGGGGCAAACAACTGTGTGCAATGTTTGCTTGATCTGTAAAGAGGGGAAGGAAGAGGAGGAGGAGGAGGGGGAGGGGGAGGGGGAGGGGAGGGGGAGGGGGAGGAAGAGGGGGAGTAGTAGTCCTAGAATAACCATGCTGAGACAAGGCATGGCTGAAGGAGTCTGGAGAGAGCACCACTGAATTTGCTAGGATAGTTGGGGAAGCTTGTCCTCCATGTGATGTCTGCCTTGATGCCTGTTGGCATGTTTTGAATTCTTTAGCTGTGCTTCATGCAGACCTGGCACCTGCTGATTTTCCGGCGCTGGGCCTGAACTTCTTTCAAGGTGTCCGGTGACGGGCTAGAGGCAAACTGCAGGTCTGGGTTCACGGTGGTCAGCCAGAAGCTGTACTCATTTGCAAAAAAGTGACAGGTTCCCTGCCGGCCCTGGCATTCAAGGAATGGTACAGCTCTGAAGTCCTCTAGGCAGCTGCCAGGTGACATCAGCGCCTGCCCGCCTCCTTGGTCCCCAGCTCCAGTGTGCTACCCAGACAAGAATAAAGAATTAGGGCTCATCCACTCCAAACTACCAGGACAGAATCAGTGGCATACCCAGGTCTGGCTCTACTTTAAAATTCTTCCCTAAGTCACTCCATAAAGAACAATTTACAATCTGCTGAAGAGCGGTAGGAAGTGTGTCCTGTGTGCATACGAAATGGAGCCAATTTCACTGATGGCTGAAATAAATCCATCTTCTACCAGACTTACCAAGAGAATAACTGATGAGAAAAGATAAAAGCAATAATGATGGCCCTAAATCTCAGCAGTCTCCAGTCTGCAGCAGCTTGGATGACCTCGGATCCTCTGCTTTCTACACAGTGCTATCTAGACAAGAATAACAAGGGCAGGAAACTTACCATCAGAAATGAGTACCCGATCCAGAGGCTCTTCCATGTCCGTGGACATGGTGGAATGGATTGGTCCTGACTGTGGACAGCCACTGCCTGGGCTGGGGCCTCACACACTGCACAGCGGCTGATGTAAGGGCGGATCTCTTCCTCTGAGAGTGGCATCATAGGAAGAGGAGCTGCACTGGACAGCCAGTAGGACCTGTCATTTCTCTGGGCGTAGTGGCACACTTGGTGGATGTTGCAGTAGGCAAAGGGCAGAGTGCTAAACACAGGAAGACAAGATCCTGCCAAACCTTGGAGAGAAGAAGTATATGAACAGCCAATTTTGTGCAAGTACCCAGAGACTCCCACGTGTGGCATATTACAGACACCTTTGGAGAACTATGCCTGAGCCAACTGACACTTTGGCCACCTCCCTGATCTATGGAGCTTCCATCATTCATCCCTCTCCCAACAACCCAGGGCTAGAGACTGAGCACAGATACATTTGTCTTCTCAATACAAACAAGCAAACAGATGGTCACAGACAAGACAGAGAAGCGCTATGGATGAGAGGTGAGGGTTGCCCAAAGCTCCCATAAAAATGATTGGACTTTATTCTAAGCTGGGATGGATAGTCAAGATGAAAATGATGGACCCAGGATTGGAGATGGTGGTGACCACTCAAAGAAGATGCTGAGATGGAGAGAGCCAGAGGCACAGAGCATCAGCTTAGAGCTCAGTGGTGGCTTGTGGGAGCCAGGGCGAATGCATCAGTGTGACTTCATCTCCTGGAATCTGGAGATAGTTCAGACCACAGGATGTGGGCTTTGTTAAGGGGCTTCAATATTACCTAGAGGTCTACAGAACTTTTAGATAGGTGTTCCAGCCCAATCATGGCAATAAAAGTGCCTGATATTAGAGGGGGAGAGAAAGCAGGTTCAACATAAACATTCCTCCTTCCCCCAACCCTCATCCTGGATGCCCATCCTGAAAGAATCTAGGCATCCAAAGAAGGCAGTGTGGTGGCAGTACCAAGAGGAAAATAAAGATGGGCATCTGAACATCTGTCACTCATGAGCCTGCCGTATTGTCATCATCTTACGAGCAAGGGACTAGTCTGGTGAAGGCAGTAAGACCCACCTAGCTGTCAACTGACATACTTCCTGTATCTACCATCCCTGCCACTGTCATCATAAGGCTTGACATTGAGTCCTGTAGCTTACATATCTGCTGTTGAAAGATGAGAAGGAACACAGAGGGTTGATGCTTAAAGTCTTGTGATCCCCAAATAAAACAGAACAGGGCTGAGAGCTGAGTCGGTGCTTGCCAGTGCTATAGCATAACCCAGCAAGAACTGCCTTCTACCAATCTGTACGTAAACATGGGAGCTCAACATGCCCAGTTAAATAATTTACATTTAGTAGCATTAAAAGTCACATTCTATAGCAAAGTTACATCTATCTCATTGAAGAAGAGTACGATAAAGGGTCATGCTTGTGGTGTCCCATGCCTTTAATTTCAGCCCTTAGGAAGCAGAGATCGGTAGGTTTCTGTGAGTTTGAGGCCAGCCTGGTCTACACAGTTCCAAGTCAGCCAGGACTACATAGTGAAACTGTCTTAAACAGAACTAACAAACACCAAAAACAAAAAACAAAAACACCACAACATCAACAACAACAACAACAACAAAACAGTAATAAATAGGCAGATAATAACCAGTCTCCAGAATTAGCCTGTGTGGCATCTAACAAGATCATGAGAATTCACATGGCAGGCATTTTTTTTTTTTTTTGTAAAGCTATGGAAGATTAGTGCTTAACTTGATGAATCTGTACAGTTAACTCCTAGGTTTTATTCTCTGAGCCACAGCACATGACAGCTTATTCTTGGGCTATCCATACCAAGATCTTGATTATGCGCCTTCTCCTGTCCTTCCATGTATAACAAGCTGTACCCTGTCCAAAGCCGAGGCATACCCACAGGGCAGGCCGGTTCTTGATCTGTCTGACTGTGGAGAACCAGGAGGAAGCCGCTGAGGTATCCAGGACCAAACCCCTTGGGCCCAGGATCACCAGTTGGACCAGGAGGGCCTAGAGAAAAGAAAGACGATTTTAAAAGCCCACATTTAATACGTATTTTTGAGTATCTCTGTTTTAGCATAATGCTCAATGTCAGGAAAGAAAGGAGAACAGGACATAGCCTGCCCCTCAAGTCTGCCCCCCTAGTCTGTTGACAGTACATAAAAACAACTCCTCCAGCAAAAGCCTTTGCGCTTCTGCAAGGCTGATCATTCAACTGAGAACTGAAAATATATATTTTTAATCGCTTCTGAATTAAACATGTAGTCTCCACCCCTTGTCATTTTCCCTAAAAGATGCAGCATACAGTGACCGCATAGGGTTGGTATCACCTTTGGTAAAACAAGGAGTCCAGATCCCCAGGAACCCCATCAAAGCCCACTACACCCAGAACCCAGTGTTGGCGGGATGGAGATGGAAGCATACTTGGAGCTCCTTGCTGAGGCAGCCTAGCCAGCTGGCAAACTCGACACTCAGTAAGAAACCTTGGATGAATAACCAGGTGGAGAGCAAGTGCAGAAGAGCCACCATACTCATACATGTGCACACATGTATACACGTTAAGCACATGGAAGGAAGTATGCAGGGTCAATGCAAATATGCTCATCAGAGAGGTTCAAAGCAGTCCAAGATTTTCACCTCTATATGAAGAAGGGGTGTCTTAGAGGCCCCTCCCTACAGTTATTAAGGATAAAAACACCTCCTGGGTGATTGAGATTTATTGGCAAAAGGTAGGAACCATGAAAAGCCCTCCCAATACTTGCAGAGCTGGTATTTGAGGTAAAGCAGTACGTACGTCCACATTAGACACTGCTGACAGCAAAGACTGCAGTGGTGGAGGAAAGAGAAGAAAGGGAACTTTTACCTGGTGCTCCAGGACAGCCTGCCTCTCCAGTGTCACCTTTACGTCCCAGAGGCCCTGGAGTTCCAGGGATCCCCTCCTGGCCCCTTCTGCCATCCAGGCCAGCCTCTCCTTTGCACCCTGCAGGAAAGTTCATTGTCATGGTGGTGTTAACTACAGCCTGTGCATCCCATAAGCTGACTTGGAGCCTCCTCCCCGCTTTGATGGCATTGGATCTACTCATTTGGTCTACCCAGGAATGGCAGCATTGGCTAATGACCTCCACCAAGCCACTGGGGCAATAGAGGTCCTGAAAGGTACAACAAATTGACTAAATTATGACATAGCCTAGTAAAGGATTAAGTCATATCTGTAGCTCTAGACCAGGGAGGTGTTGGGAAGGAGGTTACCCCAATTTCTTCATTATAGTTTGGTTGGTTGGTTGGTTGGTTGGTTGGTTGGTTGGTTGGTTGGTTAGTTGGTTGGTTGGTTGGTTGGTTGGTTGGTTGGCTTTTGGTTTGGTTTGGTTTGGTTTGGCTTTGGTTTTGGTTTTAGTTTTTTTGGGTTTTTTTTTTTTTTGCTTTTAGAAAACATTGAACATGTAACACTTTTATGTTCAAATATTCTTCTATGATGATGTTTTAAAAATCTGGACAGAGGAGTGGAGGAATGCGTTACATTTATTAGGATACATTTTGTTGGTAGCATTTGGTTGGGTTTTTTTGGTTTGGTTTGGTTTGGTTTTTAGGTTTTGGGTTTGGGGCTTTGGGTTGTTTTTTTTTTTTTTTTTTTTTTTTTTTTTTAAGATGTGGTCTCTCTGTGTACCCCTGGCTGTCCTCGAACTTGCTCTTCAGACCAGGCTGGCCTTGACCTCAGAGCTCCACCTGCCTCTGCCTCTCTAGTGCTGGGACTAAAAGGTGTATGACACCACTGCCAGCTTAGGATTTGGTTTCCAGGAATGGATTGTTATCAAGGGTTTATGATGGACTGGTTTCAAGGTAACCACTTCACATGAGTTATCAACTGAGTCTTTATAGCAGCCATGTATGGCCCCGTCTGCACTTACTCCAGGAGGGAGAGAGACTTCAGCAGGCATGGAGAGCACACATGAACTAACCTGGTAGCGAGGGCAGAGGTAGTGTCCATCAGCCCCCTGCCCCAGCTCTTGACAAGCTTCAGATACATCCCTGTGGATCTTGGCACAGCCACACTAGGCTTGCAGGGTATTTTAACTGCTTGGCATCCTTTTTCTTCCTCCCAGTTCCTTAACTGCGTTTCTATGGGGTCATGGTAGCACCCATGTCTATCATGTATGTGGCTGTCTATGCCATTAGACCCATTGATCTGACTTATTAGCCCTCTCCATGTTTCTAGATGCTACTTGTTAAAGTCCTTCCTTGAATAAGCATATCACGGGCTGATGTGTACCACCCTTCTTTCAAATTCATATTGAATTCCTAACCCCCCGTAACTTAGAATGTCTGTATTTGGCAATAATGTCTTTAAAGTTATGTTCAAATCATCTCGAGGTCCTTAGAGCGGGCAAACCCAATCTGGCTGGGATCTCTATAGGGAAAGAGAGAGGGCTGCCATGTGCAAAGGACTTTCAAAAGAAACCAAACCCTCTGAGACTTGCCCTCCAGAGCCAAGGGATGAGGTATTTGTATAGCTCTCGCTCTGTTCGTTTGCTATGACAGCCAGAGCAAACAGACACATAGCTTGAGACCAACCCTTCAGCCAAAGGACATGGGAGGTGGGATCACTTTGCTGTTGACAGCGAAGAACCTAGAAAACAAAGGGTCTGACTAAAGATACTGTCCAAATCCTGTCCCATCAGGCATCAGCCCTGCCCTGAAGAAGGCTGAAGGGCCTGGGCTTGGCAAGCTAGCAATATCAAAGGCAGGAGGCGACGTCACTTCCTACCCTGTATGGCTCTAAACTCCTTCCTTTTAGAGCATTTCCCTCTGCTACTCCAGTGTGGGGTCTCCCTGGGTTTTGTACTCTTGCTCTAGTAACTAGCCTAGAGTGCCCTAGGCCCCAGGCTTCCTCTGCCAGCATGCCAAAGCAATTCACAAGCAGTGCTGCTGTTGAAGAGTCCAGAATGGCAGCTTCAAAGTTGGCCTCGAATCAGCATCTGCCCCCATGGGCTGGCCCAGGTCCTGAAAAATCCACATTTTGGGCAAATTCCCATGTAGTGCTGATGCTGCTGGTATTGGAGAATACATTTTGATAACTACTACTCTAGATTTTGAAGTTTACTGCTCATTCTGGCAATAAACTTGGTGGTATATTTTGAAAACCCTGCCTATTTGTTTTTTTTTCTAGAAACTAATTTTATTTAAAGTCTTCACTCCTGTGTGTGTGTGTGTGTGTGTGTGTGTGTGTGTGTGTGCACATGCGTATGAATCCCTCAAGATGAATACCTCAAAGATGGAGTTACAGGTGTTTTTGAGCTGCCCAATATGGGTGCTGGGATATGAACTCTGGTCCTCATAACTCTCTTTGTTTGTGTTTGTTTGTTTGTTTGCTTGAGTGCTTGCTTGTTTATTTACTTTTGAGACAGTGTTTCTCTGTGTGGCCCTTTCTGCCCTGGACCTTGCTCTGTAGACCATGCTGGCTTCAAATTCAGAAATCTGCCTCTGTCTCTTAGCAGCAAACACTTAACCACTGAGTAATCTCTCCAGCCTCTTCCTGCCAACTCTGAACACCATAAACGGTGCCCACGGAACTCATATTAAGGAGCCAATACCTGCAATAACTATAGGAAACAGATTTACTGCTCATTCTGTCGCTTTGATATGTCACCAATGGCAGTTAACTTATAAGTCTCAAAATCAGGAGACAGAGAGCCCAAGCAGAGTACATGGCAATCAAGTTTCAGAGTGTCCCTTCCTAGCCGTCATATCTCCCTCTGATATAATATAATCATGGATGCTTAAGTATGAATTGCTCATCACCCAGGCAGACGTGCTTTAAGAGTTGCTTATCAGAGTGAAAAAGTAAGACCACCTTAAATGCATTTAAGGTGGTCCTAGAACGGCAGCAACACCCAGAACTCTTTAAAAAAAAAAAAAAAATGAACCTCACAGTCCAGTCCACACTTGAGAAGCCAGAAAGTCTAAGCTGGGACCGGCAATATATATTTTTAAAAGCTCTCAGGGGAGGAGGGGTAGAAGGAGGGATTCTGAAATCCCAGGCGCTCTCCTATCTCCGGGTAAGTTCAGTTGCCCCTGCTAACCTTCAGGACTTCAGGACTGTTGTCAGGACCTTCACTTTTCCTTGGCCTGCTGCTCCAAGTGCAGGCCCTTGCTGGATTCATTTTATTTCTTGCAGAGTGCTGGCACCAAAACAGTCGATAAATAATTCATGAAAGTGGTGGTTAAATGAGTTATGACACAATCAAGTAACGCAATACTCTGCAGTCGCCACAGACAATACTGTCGGGAAATATGTAACGACACAGAACTGACGGCATGATAGGACCAGCACTCTGCAAAAACAGGGTGTTAGGACAGACTCTTTAAAAATGTGCAGAAGTAAGGGTGGACGGACACACAGCCGGCTGTGCCTTTTTAAGCTCTGCTTACTTTCTTTGTTTCTCTCTCTTGTTTAAACACCTCTAATAAGTTTGTTATTTGTGTTGTTGTTGTTGTTGTTATTGTTTTGATGTGTGTGTGTGTGTGTGTGTGTTCACCTGCTTATGTGTATCATTGTACATGAGTACGTGTTCATGTAGAGACCAGAAGTTGGAGTCTTCCCTGACAATCACCTTCCTTCCAGTCAGGGTCTCTAATGGAACACGAAGCTTTTTAGAGACTGACTGTCTAGCAAGTCCCAGGGCTCCTAACTGGGTCTGATTCCCAGCACTGGGATTCCAGGAACACTGGCTGCTGCGCTCAGCTCTTTTACATAGGTTTAGGAGATGCAACTCAACTCCCTATGCTTATGCAGAGAATGCTTTACCAAGCCAGTTGGTGACACATGCCCTGGGAGCCAGACACAGGAGTCTCTGTGAGTTCGAGACCAGCCTGGTCTACAAAGCAAATTCCAGGACAGCCAGGGCTACTCAAAGAAACCCTACCTCAAAAAAACATACATACATACATACATACATACATACATACATACATACATACAATAACAGAAATGAAGAGAGAGGAAAGAAAGAAAAAGAAAGAGAGAGGGAGAGAGAAAGAAGAAAGAAAGAGGAAAAGAGGAAAAGAGAGAAAGGAAGAGGAAGGAAGGAAAAAAGGAAGGGAGGGGAGAGATGGAAGGAGAGAGGTTGGGGGGAAGGAAGGACAGACATTTAGTAACTAACATCTCCCTAGCCCTACAATAAGGTTTTGGATTTGGGGTGTGTGTGTGTGTGTGTGTGTGTGTGTGTGTGTGTGTGTGTGTCTGCTTTAAACTTTTCCTTAGACTTCCAATAACCTCCTCTCCTTCCACAAACAATTCTCAGCCTTAGTTGTTTCTGTTTTCCAGGGGGACGTTTAATAACATGTGGAAGCATTCTTGGCTGTCACAAAGGTTAGGCATCTAATATTCAACACTGGGATAGACCAGGGACACTACTCAACCTCCCACAGTGAGTGGCCCTTCACAGAGCAGATTACCTGGCCCCCAAGTCAGCAGCACTAGGCTGAGAAAGGCTGCTCTGCCCTGCACACTCAGGGCACCATGTATCCCTCCATTAAGTATTTAGCAGACACCTCCCATGACCCAGAACCCTGTGGAGATCCAACAGTGAGCAATGAGAAGCCCACTCCTAGACTGCTCTGGTCTCGAGAGCAGTAAGAAAACAAGTAATACAAAATTCCATTCCACTTCCACAGCCTTTGGCACTGCACTGAAAAGAACCGTGTCACAGCCAGGCAGTGGAGGAAATAGGAAGGCGCCAGCCCTGAGCCTTCCTTCTGGCTCTCAACACAGATGCCGAGCTCAAAACCACTGCCTGTGACTGGTCTGAAGAGGTTTGTGCTTTCCAGATGCCCAGGGCTCCCTAGCTCAGCATAAATTACCCAGTATGGGCAGGATGTGCAAGAAGAAGAAAAACTCCATGCGGAATACTTTTTTGCCAGGACAGTTTGGTTTGTGTGCTAACAACGGTCCTCCCACCCTGACAATGACTGAGCTCATCAGCTCAGTTCCAGGAGCAATGCCACCATTGCCAACCTGTAGAAACAGTCTGTTTTCCTTCTCCATCTTCTGAGAGGCTCCTGTCCTTTTCTCTCTGTCAAGCTGTTTCTGCTCCTCTGGCTCCCAATTCCGTTGTTCTTGTTTGCATGGTTGGTTGACTTTTTATTTTTTTATTTTTGTTGTTGTTGTTGTTGCTGTTGTTCAAAACCAAGCCAGCAGTTATGAGAGCAGGGCACCTACCCTGCTGTGCTATGGTTGCCAAGCTCACCATTCATAAGCTGGCCAAATCTAAAAGATTTCAATGGGAGTTCAACAGAAGAATAGAAAGGAATTGGTTTTACTATGTTTAGGTATGGGCCTTGAATTCCTGATCTTTCCAGGACTCTTATCATGAAGGGATGTTGAATTTTGTCAAATGCTTTCTCAGCATCTAGTGAGATTATCATGTGTTTTCCCCCCCTTTGGGTTTGTTTATATAGTGGATTATGTTGATGGATTTTCATTACTGAACCATCCCTGCATTCCTGGGATAAAGCCTACTTGATCATGATGAATGATTGTTTTGATGTGTTCTTGGATTTGGTTTGTGAGAATTTTATTGAGTATTTTTGCATCAATGTTCATAAGGGAGATTGATCTGAAGTTCTCTTTCTTTATTGGATCTTTGTGAGGTTTAGGTATGAGCATAATTGTGACTTCATAGAATGAACTGGGTAGTGTTCCTTCTGTTTCTATGTTTTGGAATAGTTTGAAGAGAATTGGTATTAGGTCTTCCTTAAGGTCTAAAGAATTCTGAACTAAAACCATCTGGTCCTGAGTGGTTTTTTTTTCCCATGGGGAGACTTTCAATGACTGCTACCATTTCTTAGGGGTTATGGGTATGGTCACCAAAGGCAGACAGTGATGTGGATGCCAAGAAGTGCATGCTGACAGGAGCCTAATATAGCTGTCTCCTTAAAGGTCTGCCAGAGCCTGACATATTCAGATGCCAGAGGCGGATTCTCGCAGCTAACCATTGATCTGACCATGTGGTTCTCAATGGAGGAGTTAGAGAGAAGACTGAAGGAGCTGAAGGGATTTGTGGTCCCATGGGGAGAGAAACAATACCAACCAACCAGAGCTCCCAGAGTCTAAACCACCAGCCTGGGAGCACATAGGGAGGGACCCATGGCTCCAGCTACATATGTAGGGGAAGATGGCCTTGTCAGGCATAGGTGAGAGAGGAAGTCCTTGGTCCTGTGAGGACTGGATGTCCCAGTGTGGGTGAATTTGAGGGTGGGGAGGAGGTAGTGGGTGGCTGGGAGGGGGGACATCCTCATAGAAGCAGGAGGAAGGGGAATGGTATAAGGGGTTTATGGTTGGGGGGGGGAAATAGGGAAAGGGGATAACATCTGAAATGTAAATAAAATATCCAATAAAAAAATTAATCTAAAAAAAAGGAATTGGATCTAGAGTCCAGTTCCGTTTGTGTTTACACATACACACACACACATACACAGGTGCACACATGCACACACACACACATACACAGGTGCACACATGCACATACACACATAAAGGAAGAAGGAAGTTTTCACAGATTTGCTATCGTGAGCTATTTAGATTCCTCTTGAAGAACAACGTCATAAAACATCTAGATTTTCATTTTGACAGTGAACTCAGAGAAGCTCATACCTCGTCCAGGCAGACCTCTCTGTCCAGGGTCCCCCATAGCTCCTTCTGGTCCTCTGGGGCCTGGCACTCCAGGAAGTCCTGGGATTCGAGGACAGGGATCCATATCTGCAGGAGGCCCAGGTTCACCTGTGATTGGAATCACCACTGTGTAATGGGTTCACAGCTCCTTCTACACTCTCTGGTAAAGGATGGATTCCTGACACAGTGCTAAAATTTTAACAAGAATCTTCAACCGTCCAGTGTAAGTTCCACAACAGTGGGAACTTGTCTTGCTCCCTGCAGGGACAGACACTAATCTTCTAGAAAGCCTTTGTGGATTAAAGACTGAATGATGGCTGGAACGAGGGATGGATGGCCAGCAAAAGCAGAAATAGAGATTACTGACTCTTGGCTGACATAACAATACTTTGGTGACCTTCAAGGGATTTTCAACCTTTGTGCCATTTTTTACTAGGGGGCTAGCCGCAATTGTCACTCCAGAGGAATCCAGGGTCTCTAAAGCTTAGAGTGTTCCTCATTATACTGAAGCCAGGTGGGTTTGCCTAGGACCAGTTACCCCTACATAATTCAAGATGGCCAGAGATTCTCATGCAGCGATTTTTCCTGAAGCTTGGGATGATTTTAATCCTTCAGGAGTTCCAGAGTCTGCCAGAGCTGAGAAAGCACCCCTACAGAGCTGAGTTCTGATTCCAGCACATTAGACTCCTCAGCCAATTGGTTAGAAAACAGTTTCTGAATCAGGTCTGAAGTAGGATTGACATGTGCATTTCTAGAACGTTCCCAAGTGAGGTGGGTAGAGTTGACCAGTCAATCTGACTTTGAGAACCACCACACAGAGGGGCCGACACTCTTAAAATACTGCTGTATTTACATCAAGACAGTCTGCTTCCAAAGGCTTCAGTCAGTCGCTCTGAAACATCCCACAGAGGCCATAAAAACCACTGAGCCAGCACTGAGAACAGCCAAGAGATATTGAAAGCCTTGAGTGTGCCAGGACCTGTGTGAAGGGCTTTATCACTCCATTCGCCAGACAACCATACCATGTGCTATGTTTTCAAACTAACAGAGGTAAGAAAACCCCAAGGATAAGTTCTATATTTACAATTACATAGCCCAAACACTGCAGAGTCCAGATTATAATCTAGAAGGCTCTGATTCCGTAGTTTCTATCATACTGCCTCTCTCTGTCTCTCTCTCTCTGTGTCTCCCTCTGTTTCTATAGTTCTCTGTGTCTCTGTCTCTCTGTGTCTGTCCTCCGCACCCCACCCATTGAGTCTGTGTGTGTATGTGCATGTGTGTGATGCCTAGGACATACTCATACGCTCTACCATTGAGCTACATCCACAGCCAAAGAACTCATGTGTGTCGTATATTCTAAGGAAAGAAATGTTTAAGAACACACAATTTGGTTAGTTACAGTTTTCTCAAAGTGCATGCAAATATGCATAATAATTTCAAATAGCAATAATGAAGGAGAAAGAGAATCTGGGAAATGGTCGTCATGACCACAAAGCATCAGCCCACACAATGCTTCCTGTGCCTTTACAGAATGGACCTGAAGTCCATGCTTGAAATTTAACTTTTCATAAAACATGGCACAAAACTATAAGCAACACAGACCCAGGGAACTTTTCACAGTAGAGTCCAGCTTGAAGTAAAACTTGGCTTTGCCACAAGGCTACTGAGAGAGGTGCATAGGGATCTCTCCTATTTTCCCAGGATAACTTGGACTTCTCCAAGAGGAGGGCAAGTTGGGAGAACTTAGCTGGTTTAGTCTTTGTTTGAGTTGTTTTGGCTTTTTGAGGTAGCATCTCACTAAACTACAGAGCCCATGGCAATTTCTATCAAACGGCCTTACCTGCCTCAGTCTGCCAAATGCTAGTATTACAGAGGTGCAATACCTCTCCCATTTTAGCTGGATTTAAGGTAAAGATTGTGATATTGTCTTTAAATGAATTTCAACTTATCACACAAAGAAGGCAGAGATATCCAACTTTAGGTTTAAATTATAAATATTTAAAACGACATGATATTTTTGAAGTTTTTATTGTTTTCCTTTATCCTTTAATAATGTAGAAGCTGAAAGAAAAGTGATGAAGTATGTCTTCTAAAATCCCTAAAAGTAATATATGGGTCTATTTTCAGGGTAATTTTCTTTATCCATTTCTCAGTAACTCTTACCTCTGCAGCCTGAAGAGATGCCACGCCAAAATGCAAAACCAGGCGACCATTTTTCACGAAGAGGAAAGAAAATTTAAATTTGTGAGTGAGGACAAAAGGGGAAAGCAATGGCTGAGAACATAAATAATAGTGTGAGGGCCATTGGTGACAAGCAGAGTGACAATGTATTTACATAAGGCGTTTGCATCCTTGTGATTGACAGCAGCAGCTATGATTCTGTACTAATGGAGTTCTTACCTTCCCAAAGACTGGAAAGGAAAGTCTCTTGAGAAACAGACAATTTTAGTTTATTTTCCATGGTACATGTGTCCTGACTGACTGCATATAGGAATTGTGGCACTTAAAGCCTCCTGAAAATTCTGTATTCATCTGTCATGTTTGATAGGTTATGAGCACAGAAAGGAAGTAAGAGGAATCCAAGTAGCAACCCTCTGTCTAATGCACTGTGACCCCTGATGAAGTAGTGTGCAATGTTTGTCCTTTGGATTATGGTGGCACAAACATTGCAAAACAATCTGAATTGCTGCTGAATACCTATGCTGCTGTTTGGAGAATTTTAAAGACTTGACTTCCACTAAACTCACACACATATGTCTGTTTGTCCTTTCTTTTCCCGATTCATTCTTACTGTTTAAAAAGAAATTGGCTAAATTATTAGGTCAAATGACCCCCCCCTTCCCGAAGTAACTGATGTACTTTTCAGAAATTAGACAAGATGGCTATGGAAATTCAGGGACAAGATGTAAACATTCAATCCTAACAGTAATCTAATCTTCCTCTGTCTTGTGGGTGAAAAACACACAAATATTTCTTCCTTTATAAATAATACATTCAACATCAGCTCTTAATTCTTAAATGTATTTGTTCTGATCATTATCAGACCTGAGATTTGACGGGGCAATCTGTATGCAGCAGTTCTGAAGGCTGACCCTCACTGTAACTGCTGAGAGGCTGTGTGGACATGCCTTTGGAGCTGATGACCACCATAAGCTTACCTGGAGGACCTACTGGCCCTTTTCTGCCCGGAGGGCCAGGTAATCCCTTCTCTCCAGGTGCTCCAGGAAGACCAGGTGGCCCTGGAAGCCCTGGAAGTCCCATTGGTCCTAAAGGAAAGATGAGAGAACAGAAGGGAACGTTAGAGTGACTCTAACTGGTTGGGTTATGCTCCAAGGAAGAGCAGGGCAGAGCCAATGTGAGGGAAGAGCTTTGCTTCCCTTTGGAAGGCTGAGAACTCCCTCTGCTGAAGAGCTCCAATGGTCAATGAGAAGGGCTACAAAGCCAAAACTATATGAAAATACAAAGCCCTGTATCCTGAACCTTTTCTGGGGACAGCAAAGGATTAAAACTAGAAAGGAAGAAGAGGTAGTAGGTACCTGGGGGTAAGATGTCTGTAGAACTTGGGGTCCCCCCCATCACCATCTTCAGCATCTTAGAGTCAAGACCACCACCCACATCCTTCTTCCCTTGTTGGCCCATGTAGACGGTACCCTCTGCCCTCCAGTAGATGCCCAATACACATTTGTAGACTTTAGACTCCCTACCCTTGTTATAGGAAACCATGGGGCTGGCTGGTGTGCCTCTTAGAACCGAGTAAAGCAGGAAGCCTAGGTAGTGCTTTCATTGATATTTTAATCTTTAAAAATTATTACTAGTGTTGGGGGGTGGGTGTGTGAGACAAGGGTACATGTGCATGCTATAGTGCAAGTGCAGAGGTCATAGAACACTTTGGTAAAGTCAGTTCTCTATTTCCAGGGATGAGACTGAGTTCATCAGGCTTGTACAGCTTTCACTGACCCATCTCAGCATCCTCACCTACCACAGTTTCGAACATTGCCTCTGTCCCGGGCTAGGTCATCAGGATTAAGCTGCCCTGCTATTTCCCCGGCTCTGAAGCTTACATTCAGGTAAACATACATACTTCAGATGTCTCGACTTCCTTTCTGCTTTTGATGGCACATCTGGCTGATTCTGATATTCAATGACCAGAAGCCCACAGGCGTGCCGATGTAAGTTACAGCATCACAGCTGCTTTTATAGATTTTATAGAGATTTTATAGCTGATTTTATAGAGATAGAGTGGCTGCAGCATGCCGTTCACAGACTTGCACTTTGCAGTCCCACAGAAAGCCTTTGTACCGTGCCTACTGAGCAGCCTCAGGCTACATTTGTTTTCCCCTCTGCTTAATCTTTTGCTGAGTCTCCTACTGGGATCAGAAGTAAAGCAAGAAAAAAAAAAAAACAAGGAAAAAAAAAAAGAAGTAAAGCAAGGTGCTAACTTCTGGGCTTCTTTTGGAAATTTTGGAGAGGGATTTTAAAACCCAGACCTCTTTCTTATAAAATAAGGAAGTTGAAAAAACAGTACTCACTAGTCTCTTTTCAACAAAAATGTTACAGGAAGCACCTGTTCTTTCCCAACTACATATGAGCACACTGGGCTGGGCTGTAATAATTCTAAAACACACACTGAGTTTCAATGGTAAGCAAGGTGTGTCGGGTACTAGGGAGAGGCGCTGGGTTCGGAAGAATGGACTGCAATCTCTCCTTGGTGATTTTATACTCCTGATCTATTTAAAACAGTAACATTTAAACACGTTTTTTTGAATAAAGTACAAGGGTTAATTCTACTTGTTTATGGCTTTTTTAAAAAAGATTTATTTATTTATTTATTTATTTATTTCATGTATGTGAGTACACTGTTGGTGTCTTCAGACACATACTAGAAGAGTACATCGGATCCCATTACAGATAGTTGTGAGCCACCATGTGGTTGCTGGAAATTGAACTCAGGACTTCTGGAAGGGCAGTCAGTGCTCTTAATCACTGAGCCATCTCTCCAGCCCTTGTTTATGGTTTTGGGCATTTTTGAGTCATGCTCCTGCTCTATAACTCAGGCAGTCCTGGAATGTGCTTTGCAGTCCCTGCTGGTCTTGGACTCATGGCAATTCTCATATGTTAGGATTATACATAGGACCCACCACACCTGGCTAGTTTCACTTCTTAAATATGGCTTCTGCACTTTTAATTCACTTGTGCAAGACTCCTTATACTTCTCTTGCTCCGTTCTGGTGCATAAAATTCATTCTTTTTCTTTTCCAGCTTAGTGATTAATTTAACACGGCTCTCATGCACCCCAGGGTAGCCTCAAACTCACTCTATGGTCAACAATTAGCATGGGCTGCAGATCCTCCTGGTGCTACCTCTCAGGTGCTGGGATTACAAGAGAACACTGCCACCCCGTCTATGACACACTGGACATCAAACTCAGGGTACACGACCAGGTCCAGCCCCTGTGTGCCCTTCTTTCAATTTTAATTCAAACCTGGGGACTTTTTAGAGGAAGCTAGGACATTTTAGAAATTACATCATCATTTCCACAAGAAATAGAGACGGCATTTGGAAGGAAGATAGTACCCCAGATCTTAGGTAAGGAAAGTCTACATGTACCACAGAAAAACATACCAACATTCATACCTTTCTGGCCATCTTTGCCATCACATCCTGGGGGACCCTGACACCCTGGAGGGCCTGGTGGGCCTTGAGAGCCAGGTGGTCCTGGCAAACCACCATCACCTGGATCCCCTTTCAGAAGGTCAACATTCCCAGGGGAACCTGGAGGCCCAGGTACTCCTGACACAGAGAGGAGGCAAAAGACAGTGAGGCTTTCAGTCAAAGACAATGGTGAATATTGGTGGTTTGAGGGCTTCTTAGGGAAAGAAATATAGTGATTCTCTATATCCCTTGTGTGCAAATCACTATATTTCTTTCTCTAAGAAGCTACAGGGTCCAAGCTGAGAAAAGTTAAGTTAGGAACTATTAAACTAGATTTATACTAGACCATTTCCTTCTGAACCATTTGAGAAGTATCAGCTAATGGTTTCAATAATCTCATTGTTTTAGCAGGTTGGGTGGATGGATGGATGGATGGATGGATGGATGGATGGATGGATGGATGGATACATGGATACATGGATGAGTGGTTGGGCAGATAGATGAATAAGTGGGTGGGTGGATGAATGAATGAGTAGATGTATGGGTGGGGGGAGGTTGAGTGGATGGGTGGTTAAATGGATGGATAGATGGGTGTGTGCGTGTGTGTATGGGTGAGTGGATGGGTGCTTGGGTGAGTGAGCAGATGGTTGGGTGGATAGATAAATACGTGGGTGGATAAATATATGGTTACATGAATGGATGGGTACGTGGGTTGAAGTTTAGATGGATAAACGGGTGGGTAGCGATGAGTAAAATTTTAAGAAAATGTAGCTAATAAGAAAGGAATGTGCCCTCCAAATTATAATCTTATTTTAAAACAAATATCTATACACAGGCGTGAGCTGACCTTAACTCTATCCTCACTTAACGTCTATACTTCCTAGCACAATTTTTATTGCTTTTATTTTCAATATACAATCTCACCCATATTAAAGTAAGTAAAGAAAAGACATAGGCACGTCTCCACATAAGAGCTGTATGAGGCACTGTGAGTGTGCCCAGTGGCTCTCAGCAAGGGAGAATCCAGCTGTCAGTAAGCCACGCTCTCCTCCTGACCCTTAGATCAACCTAGTCGACCATCACTTTCTTCTAAACAGCTCTTTATAATTTCCAAAATCCTGCCCCACGGGAATCCATCCATGTGAGGTGGTGAGAGAGGCACCACGCACTGCTGGCAGCCCATGTGCAGACTTTCAGTGTACATCACAGGCATGGGTCCTGCCCCTCTGGGACAGTGGACAAGGTGCTAGGCAACAAGAATACAGCTCTTTCCTAGTGGGCACTTGTGACAGGCAGCATCTATCTGGTGATCAGAAATGCTTGTTCCACCTCTGTTGGACCCTGGACAGCAGGACTCTGGTGCAGTTGACATTGAAGAGTGAGGGGGATGTACTCTTTTCTTCCTGGTCCTGAAAGATACTGCTACCTATACTGCCCACCCGGAAGCATCTCACTTATCCATCTTCCAAGTTGGTAGAGCTGCCCTGGGGCTTCTCTGTGAGACCCTATAGCCAGACCTAGCTGGTAGTTTCTAAGGAAGAGACCACTGTCATCCTCAGTCACAATGCCATCATACCTCTTGGGCCATCGGGGCCAGGAGGTCCCCAGTCTCCAGGTGGACCTGGGTCAGGAATGTCACCTTTAGCAGCTCTTCCTGGGGCACCTGCAGGACCAGGTGGTCCTGGTCTCCCTGTGGAAACACGTGTTCATATGTTAGCCCTGCCACATCTAAAATGTTTTAACTAGTTCTTGAGGAAATATCAAAGCCTGCTGCTTCTTACCTGGGGGTCCTGGGAGGCCCTTTTCTCCTGGAAGGCCTGGGGGAGAAATCCCTGGGCTCCCAGGATCACCTTTCTCTCCTTTTAGCCCAGGCACTCCAATTGGCCCAGGTGGACCCATTTCGAACAAACCTTAATGAGAAAAATAGCATCAACGTTGTATCTAATCCTTGTTTATAGCTGTCTCAGAACCTAAAAGGACCAAGCCCCCAGCAGGGGTGTGTCAGAGAGGGTGGCTGGTTCTGCAGAGAGCAAACTCTGGCTCTGATGATGCTCTCTATTCCTTGAGTCCCCATTTTTAATGAATGACATCATAACGACCAACCGCAAGTTTGGCTTCTTTTAGGACTGTGCAAGACAGTTTCACCAAGCCAAAAACAAAGTAGATGATCATTAAAAACTGTGAAGAGATTGCTTAGATCTGAGTGGATCGAGTCTACCGTTAGAACTCTGTACTCTGGAGCTTCCCACTGAATAGGGAGAGACTATCTTTGGTTTCTTGGAAGGGTCACTTACATATTTAATCAGACTCATTGAAAGAACCACCAAACAAATTTTAGGTGACCTAAGTTACTCTTTGAACATCCAAAATCCATAAAGATCCCACCTCTCTCCGACAGTAGCATCACACCTAGCTGTAAAATCCCTTTTCTAATAGCTATTCTAATTTACAATTTGGGTTTGGCTACTATGTCTGACTGTAGGTTATTTAAATGAGACAATAATACAGCAGACATTTTTTTAATGGAACAAGCTAAAAATATAATAGTTGAAAATTAATCCATCTGTGATATCAAAAATAATGGCAGGTTTGGGGCTGGAGAGATAGTTCAGCGGTTAAGAGCACTTGCCCCTCTTCCAGAAGACCCAAGTCTGAATCACAGCAGCCGTGTTTGCCACTCAGAAATAAGGCCTGTAGCTCCAGCCGCAAGGAGGAGCCAATGCCTCTGGCCTCGTCCGGCACCTGTGCTTACATGCACCTACTCACACACAGGCACACATAATTGAAAATAATAGAGATCTTTAAGAAAAAAAACTAACGGGAAATAATTCAAGTAATTTTTTTTGACAGTCATGGTACAAGAATGCCAGCACTGCTAATTAGATTTTCTTGGTCAGGAAAAGCTATTGGTATACTTAAAATAAATCATCCACAGAACTAGAACTAGCTCTACCATCATCTCTACCCTGTGCTATTCCTTTGGATTCACTCGCAGGTCTCAGGATGTTAAGAAACACCAGGAAAAGGTTCTGCTTCATCCTCAATTCATTGATCAAAGCTTGATCACCAATGAATCTGTCTTACCTGAGTTGCCTTTTGCTCCTTTCTCACCCTTCAGACCATGCAAGCCATTCAGACCAGGAGACCCAGGAGGTCCTGAAACACAACACACGTTCTGTGTCCCAAAGGTTAGACCAGCTATTGGTTCCTATTCTGGCTACCATCCCATGTCTAGGCCACGGGAGAATGAGTCGAAGTGGGGAAGGTTGACAGGTAACCCTGCCTAGAGGTCACCCCTAGGGGCCAGAACCCAGCCTGAGAGATTTTTGGCACATTCATATGGTGAAGATGTTCTGACAAGAAGACTTAACTTGATTTGTAACTCTCTCATGATGGAAGAGAGTCTAGAGTTGCCACATTTGCATGCAGGAAGTGACCTTTGATTTGATGACGATAAAATCTCTTTAGACCAGGATAGAGGTTGGAGGACGGTAAATCCAATGCTTTCTGCTTCCCCGTTTGAATCTCCCCCTTGCCATCCAGGGTGTACTGGTCCTAACTCCTTCCAGATGTAGTCATGGTAACGAAGCAAAACAACAAGCTGATTCCTGCTGTGGTGTATGGACTACCATGTGCTGTTAAGCACGCACTGCTGAAAACCAGATGTGTGGGTCCTCAGCTGTAGCTATTCCTCTGCAGCTGGTTCTTTCAGAACAGCCCTTGATACCTTCTTACCAGCAAACTAACCAACTTTCTGGTGATCTCTGAATTCCAACCCAGGCTCTGGAAACCAGACCTTATGCCTCCACTGACATCAGTACACGTGGGATTGGACTAACCAAAGGCATTCTAGAGTTCTCCAAGCTCCAGCCTGGCTTTACTTTCGTTGCCATCAAACACATCTCATGCAAATTGTTCCCTGGGGCTTTCCATCAGTAGATGCTGGGTCGCGCTTAACTTTTTCAAATGAGGCCAGCACGAAGTTGAGAGGAACAGAAGTGAGGAAGCAGAGAGCAGGGAAACAGGCAGGTAACAAGTATCAGAGTCCCTTGTGGGTGCAGAGCCCAGCCACATATGGTTCCACGTGTCTTGTTGTCCCACTGTGTGATTCTAGGAAGGAAGCTTATTGAAGTCTTTGGCCAAACTCAATGACCTTCCAAGTTCATTGTTGGACCGCCCCCCTACACTCCTAATAGCTTTCCTTTCCCACACGGAACTAAGCTCTTCTCCACACAGCCCATCAAGGACTCAGATTAGCACTCAGTGACAACATACTCATCTTATGTGACCAAACACAAAGAAAGTGGTTCCTGAGGTGCCCACAAGGCCTCCGTAGGTCTCCCTGGATAGATTGCCTATATCAGGTTGTACAACAATTATGTCTTTGGGCAGCTGCCTCCCTGGATCAAGAGGAATCAGAGAACAGGACCAGGCCTTACTAGTCTTTCTATCCATACACTGAACACAGTTCCTATGCCTTGTAAGCTTTGAACAAACGCTTGCTGACTCAAGTAGTGAATTATAGAGAATGAAGAAAGGACCTCAAGGATTGGAAAGATGGGGAGAAAACTAAAGAATGCATTATAGCTTCTGTTTCCATGCCTCATTTTTCTCTAATACATTTATGGAGTAAGTGTGATTCAGAGAAGTTAGAGACATCCACCTATGGGGAAATAACCTGAGTGCTAATTGCTTTTTGTAAGGCAGGTTCACATGGAAAGTCCATATTGGAGGACGGCATAGTTACTGGTTCCAATCTGTTTATCATCAGTACTTGAAATAGACAACTGTTATTCTCCTTTTAAGATCTCAAATTTAAATCCATTCAAATGAGCCATATTTTCTTGCACTGAAAAAGAGGGGTGGGGGTACATTCTTATTTTCCCTAAATCTTGTATTTTCTAACCACTTTTCACAGTCCTGGCTTGGTTTATTTTCCAATCCTCTTTCCTAGTTTGTGAGGCAGTATTTCAAATTTGCACCAAAAGAACACAATGACCTTCCTCATCTGCCAAATCTGGATATTTATTGCAATCTATCTAAAATGATAATAAATTTTTCGAGACCACATTGCTGTTTCTATGTGTTTTGATCTCCAGTGTTAGCCACCAAGATTGATGGCTCGGGGACTTGGCTAAAGGAGGGCTGCCCTAGCCTCTGCCAACTCTCCATTGTCACATCAACACATCCAGATCCTGGGCTGTCACAGCCCAGCCCCTTGCCATTGTTGAACTGGCCGACCCTTATGTGACCCAATGTTATCTTTCTAAATTGAATGCAGCTACATCTGGGCAGGGTTTTAAGTATAATTTCCCCCTTTTACTGAAAGCTTTTATCAATCCCATCTCTAAATCAGGAAGTTGTTCATGCATAAAATATATACAGTACAGATGAAGGGCAATTAGGCTAACAAAGCACATTCCTGGGTAATGAGGAATTTTTATTCACCTCTCTGATAGTCCTTCTGTTTAACAACCACCATTTAAGGCTGCACCCGGCTGCACTCAGGGGCCAGTGTGCTTGTTCTTCCTCTGGTCAGTGACTCTAACCTCCACCCTAGCACACTGTGTCTTCATTCTGTGTCAGGCAGCCCACTCTTGGTGACAGATTTCCCACCCTCAGGTTATGGTTTTGTTCTAAAGCCAGAAAAATGCTACTCTGTACACTCAGGACACTGGTAGGCTTTACATTTTAATAGGGTGACCAACGAGTCCCTGACTGACTGGAACCATTAGTGCTAGGACTTCCACATCCTAAGAGAGCCCCATGCACAACGAGGCAGCTGGCCATCCTGACGTTACAGTCAATGGAGAAGTGAAATCTTCACAGCTATAGGCTAAGGTTGAAAAACCCTTGAGAACTCTTATCAAGAAATGATTCAAAAATAAGAGTTAAGCTAGAAACATTTTTTTTCTTAGCAACTATACAAGTGCCTATTGAAAAGATAAATATGACTTCCCAATGCATACAGCTCCACCCCCCCCCCAGGAGTGTATCCCATGACAGGCTCTGAAGAGACAATGGGAAGCAAGAAAGACATAATCCCTGACCTGACAAGACAAAGAGACATCCAGCGTGCTAAGTGCTGGGGTAGGAGACAGGAGAATAATTTAGTTACAGCAACTGGGGGGAACACTGTTCTGATTGTCAGAGCTCTGTGACAGAAGGCATCTCCTTCCTCATAAAAGACATTTCCAAGCACCTTTCAAAAGTAAACTAGCGGGGCTGGGAAGATGTTTCCGACAGTGAAGTGCTCCCCTCAAGGATGAGGGCCTGAGTTGCGATTTCTCCAGCATTCACATCTTTAAAAAGTTTGGTGCATATATGTAACCCCAGCTACTCTAGTGCAATCAGGGAGCTCCAAGTTCAGTAAGTGTCCGCTTAGGTTTTTTTTTTTTTTTTTGTCAAACTAAAAACAGAAACTAGAATCACCAAGGAAGAAGAACATCAACTGAGAGAGAAAGATCCTATTTCAAAAAACAAAACGGAAACACGGTGGAAAGCAATTCGGAAAGAGAGCTAACATTGACCTCTGACCTCTGCACACACCCACAGGCCCACAGACGCAAGCACACACACATGAACATGTGTGCCCACACTTACCCCTCCACAAGCACAAAAGTGAACAATTTCACTCGCCACTGGCCCAGATACCCCATCCACAATAGACTGTCACACAGCAGGTGATTCTCAGTAGGTTTCTGTCATTCTCATCTTGTGTGGAGGTACAACTAGAAGTGGGGTGCTTTCCTCTTAGAGGGTACATATACTCGGAGGCATAAAGCAAGCAAACAAGCCACTTGTAGCATCTGTCTAAGTTAAAGTTTAATTCTGACCAGACCGAAGCAGGACTCAAAACTCCATCCGGTCTGTATGAGCAGAGCAAACACATCTGAGTTCAGACAGCTGGACTGTTCAAACAAGAAAGTTGGTTCCCCTACCTTACTAGGAACATACTTCAAATATTTAGCTTCTCAGTTCAAAGTGTTTCTGCTGGATCGAGCTTCATTTTTACATCGGCATGATAAACTGCAACAATGGATTTATCCTGGGATGTTTTGAGTTTTAAGACTGTATCCCACTGTCTTGTTTTGTTTTGTTTTGACGGTTGGCTGGACGTTTGTTGTGCCATGTGCAGTGAAACAGCGTCCCCCAGTGGTAGCAAAGGAGCATTGCAGCAGGGGAGTGTCTAGTGAGTGAAATGTGAAATGCCCTTTGATCTGTTCCCTTCCAATACCTCTCAAGAAACTTACTATTTCAGTGCAAATTAGGAGGCAATTAGCAATTACTTTTAAAGTGATATTATTATGGATATAGTTCATGTCTATGAGGGTTTTTTTTTTTAAAAAAAAAAACAATGTCATCATGGGGCTATTTGATAATTGTTCAAAGGGAAAGGAAGAGTATATTACAACCACCTGCAGGCACTCGGAAATGTTCCCTGTTGTGTGGAATTGGAAGGCTGGGAAGAGAAAGCCCTTAACAATGTCAGATGTTTTCTTTTGGATTCCTCCCAAGTCTTTCCAGACTGGAAGAATGTTGAAGTCAAAGAGGAGGAGGCCAGGAGAGCTGAGGGGTTGCCAGAGGCAGGAAATGTCCACAACCAGCAGAGAAAAATCTCAGGACAACAGTATCAACGTGTTGTGTGAGACTTTAAATTCATCATGGGTTGCCTGGTTTTCACATTACTACAAATGTCAGCGGAGACGGAGAAAGTATCAAGAGATCATTTGTCCTAATAACTCCCGTCAGGTTATTTAGCTGCCAGTAAGTGCTCCAGTGTGTTGGAAACTTCCAGGGGAAGAGTTCCCCCTCCTTCAGCTTCGCTCTGAGGAATGCGCACTGCCCCATGGCTTGTTGAAAGGCTAGGAATCTTGGAAAGCTGGGATGTGAAAAGCAGAAGGGATGAGAAAGGAAAAATTTGGATTTTTCAAAACAATAAAATGTTTAATTCCAGAAGTGGTTTCTAACTCTTCCAAGAAGAAGTACTTTGAT